CTGCAGCCGCCGCGTCCACCCCCGAGAACTGGGTCGCCGGAACCATTGAGCTCATCTCTTGCATTGTTGGTTGGTCCGGTTTCTTTATTGTTCAAGTAAGTTAGTATTGTCTATTTTCAGAATTAGGAAAAATGAATATTTTACTCATTTAAATATTGATATAAATTATTACTACATTTATTTATATAATAATTGAGCAATTTTGCATATGTATACATAGTCGATGACATTGAAGGAGTACCCAGCAGAGCTATCTCTGGCAGCATGGGTATGTGTGATGGGCATAGTGGAAGGAGGAATTGTTGCTCTTATAATGGAACGTGATTGGAATGCATGGAAAATTGGCTTCGACGCTAGGCTCCTTGCTGCTGCTTATTCTGTAAGTTTTTCCTTATTTGCTAAATTATTGTGAAACGTACAATTCTCTTATTTACTAAATTCTTACCACCAAGAAGTATCATTATATAATTTTACTACTATTAGCGACTAATTAGAGCAAGCAATTTGTGTTTGGTCAGGGAATCGTTTGCTCGGGAATTGCATATTACGTGCAAAGTATAGTTAATAAAGTTAAAGGCCCAGTGTTCGTGACAGCCTTTAGCCCTTTGAGTATGGTCATCACTTCTGTTCTTGCTGCTATTATCTTGGCTGAGTCAGTCCACCTTGGAAGGTAATTAAAAACTAAGTTTTTAAATTTAAAGGACAAAAAAGAAGTGTTGTTGCTTTGTCAATTTAATTAATCTAATGATTTCCTGATTCATTTGACAAAAATTTCAGCTGCATTGGAGCAGTTATCATAGTCATGGGACTTTACTCTGTGGTGTGGGGAAAGAGTAAGGAGGGTAAAGGAAATGAGACAGGAAAAGACCAAGAATTACCAGTTGTGGACATCAAAGAAAGGTCAACCATAGTTGACGATATTAGTGATGATGTTACGACTGTGAAATCAAAGGTTCCAGCTGAGAAGAAGGCTTCAATCTTGCAAGAGCTGTAGCATCCAAAAATGAAGCTGTCTTTGCAATTTTAATTTTTGACTTGTTGCAATGTTTAAATTTCTAAGTGTTGCTTTGAAACAATGCACTAATGTTGCCGATTGTTCTTGATGAAAAAAATGTGTAACCTACTTTTTGTGTAAAAGTCAAGGAGTGGTCTCTCCATTTGGGAATGAAAAATGAAAATGTTCTAATTTACCCTTAAAATTAAATGGGTAGTAAAAGCTTCGCGTTCAGCTTTTTATTCTTGATTTTCATCACTTGTTTCTCTTTTAATTTTTTCCTTTGACACATTTGCTTTCATCAATATCTTATAATATAAAACTCTAGACATTGAGGCCAGCAGAGATTATAATTCGACTGATAGTGCACGACATCTGCTTTACAGCAAGTTTGTCAACTAAGGTGGGAGCTTACATAAGGAAGTTGAATTACTATCCTATATAGACTGTGTTTACCAGAAATTCAATTGATGTAGGCTGAAGGAATTAGATGAACTTGAGGCAGATAGTTCTGGAGCTTGCATGCTCAGACTACTTCTATTTTCTTATGTAGTTATTTAGAGCTGTAAATATTCACAATTTTGAGATATAAAATCCGATAATTTGATAAAATAAAATAAAAACTCTAGACACATTCTTTCGGGTCAATTTAACCGGAAGAACAGACAAAATCTTTTATGTAGTCTCTCAAATATAAATCTGACAATATACTACATTGCCATAGTTGGAGTATGCATGTGTGTAAAGATCTAACATTCGTATTTGTTTAACCCTAAAAATAATTTTTACGGCCAAAGCAATAAATTTTGTATTTCAGACGTAACGATCCGACCGGTCATTTTGAGTATTTTAGTATCGTTTTCCCTATTTGATGTTTTATATGTGTGTATTTGTAGTTATGTGACTTGCGGGGGGGTGGTTGCCTTTGTTTCGGGAAGTTTTAGATTGACTTGGAACGCTTAGTCTCAAGGTTGGATGCTTAAGTTGTAAGAGTTTATCGGAGTTTGACTTTTGTGTAGACGACCCCGAAATAGTATTTTGGTGGCTCCAATATGTTTGTATGGTGATTTTGGACTTAGGCATATATCTACATTTGGATTTGGAGTTCCGTAGGTTGATTTGGTTATACTTGGCGAAAGTTAGAAAGTTGAAGGTTCGAAAAGTTCACAAGTTTGACCGGGAATCAACTTTAATGATATAGGTTCGTATTGTGGTTATGGGAGTGATAGGTCTGTTGTATCAATTGGGAGTTGTGGAGTTGGTTGAACGCGATTTTTGAAGGGCTTTTCATCATAATTGAAGGGGTACGTGCATTTGACTTGATATTATTGTTACAGATATTGATTACCATTTACCTATAGATTATTACACCTAATTTATGTGAATTAAAGGTAAAGGGGATTTTTTTTCCATGGTTTAGGTGTAAGGCCCCATAAATAAATAAAAAATCCTAATGATTTAAGATTTTAAAGTGCGACTTCGGGGTTAATACGCCGTTTCTTCAAGCATAAGTGGTATCACAGTAGCAAATGAGCTCCAAATTCAGTTTTCATTGAAGCATTATATTCTTATTGAAATTTTGGAGCCATAGCAAAAAGAATCGTCGAATTCGGACATCGTATGAGAAAGTTATGCCAGTTTTCGTGTCTTTCCCATCGCTAGTGTCCGGGGTAACGTGGGGCGCTAGCCATGCCGCTGGAAATTTTTGAAATTCTGGAACCACTGCCACAGGCAGCCCTACGCCACCTGTGGTGCTACAATATTAGGTTATATACGGGGTTCATTTTTTCCCAGTTCATTTGGACGAACCTTGGGATTCTTCTTCACTCTCTCGGGACCTCCAACTCCCTTCATCTTCAAGGTGAGTAATCCCTACTAATTGGTGTTTCAATCCATCAATTCCACCCTAAAACTAACTCAATCCTCCATAAAATCCTTAGATTTTCAAGAAATTTCTTCAAGAACTCAAAAGGAGGGTTTTGCAAGATATCTTCCAAAAGGTAATCCTACACCCTTAGGCTTACATGCATGAATTTATTTTGGGAATATGAGTATAAATTAAGTATTGGGAATCATGGGATGGTGATTGGAAGCCATAGTTTCCCAATTTAAATACCTAACCATTGTAGAGATTGAAAGGCATTATTTGATGAAATTTTGTTGGTTGGGTATGGATGGATGGTCATGCATGTGATGTTGGAAGTTATAAAATATTTAAGAATGATGGGGAGAGGGGATAAATTGTTGGTAAATGATGATAGTTGGATGAACTAATTCTATGGCTATGAGATGTAGAGGTTTATGCCTACTATATATTTGATAAAGTGTCTAAACGGCCTAAACTATGGAATTTGTTACTAATGATGGTTCCATTAGATGTTGATATTATAGATTGAAGTTGCTTAGTGTAGTAGATCGTTGTAGTATTATTAAAGGACGAATTTCAGGTATGTATGGCTAAACCCCCCTCTTCTTAGAATCGAACCCCTGGTATTCGGGTAATTGGTGTAAGTCCCTAAATTGATCAAACAAGAATTGACTGCTATAATGTGTTGTGTTGAAAGATTCATGTTCAATAATTTCTCTAGATTGTTTACCATGGCATCATGCTATTTGAGAATGTGTTTAAAATGTGGAATATGTGTCGAGAAAGGTCAAGAATTGAATAAAGATTGCTATACTATTGTATGAAAAGCCTCCATGTGATTAGGATTTTCCAAGCTTTTCTCTTATGTGTGCAATGCCTTATATGATAGGCTTTATTGATGTTGATGATAATGTTATTTGAATGTATAAAAAGGAAAACTTGGATTGTAAGATACGGCCAAGAGCCAAGAACGACGTAATAAATGAGGGCACTCGTGCCATGTATTGAAAGATGGGAAGGAAATGTGAATTGTGATGAACGGTTGACAGGATGATGTCTCAAGTGAGATAGCCTAGCCAATCGGGCCGTGATCGGACACCATGCCGCACACATGGTAGTAACTGTGCTGGAAATTGTGGATATGGTTGATGTCTCTGATGAGATGACCTAGCCGATCGGGTTGAGGTCGTACTTTGTGTAGAAACACGGTGGTATTGTGAATTATGGCACATGGCACTACGCTTATCAACCTAATAAAGATGAAAATTGAATCGAGAACTATGTGATCTTACTTGATATTTTTCGTATTTGTTTGAAGCTCTTATTGTACATCATGACTGCTTTCTCTTTGTTTCATTGTTGATTCTATTAAGATAGATGTTTAGCTTTACATACTAGTATTATTTGACAGTACTAACGTCCCTTTTGTCGGGGCGCTACATCTTTAAATGGATGTAGGTGGTTCCATAGCAGACAGTGTTGATCGCAGCTAGTGGCACACCCTCTTTCCAGTTGACTTGATGTGCCCCACATCATTTCGGGGTCATATATCTTTTGTATCTTTTGTTCACTTTCTTATTATATTTTGAGGTATAGCTAGGGCCTTGTTGCCGGCACTTTTATAGCACTCTCTTTTGTATCTACTTAGAGGCTCCGTAGACATTATGTGGGTTGTATATGGGTGTTGGGAAGGTCAATGGATTATGTTGTGTTTTGGATTCTTGTTCCACTAAATCATAAGGTGTGTGTATTTTGAAACTTAACAATGATGTAGCTAATGAAATGGCTTCATAATGTACTTGTATGATCTTCTATTATCTAATTAATGAAATCATGTCTTCTCTTGATCGTAAGTGAGTTGGGTAGAAAGTGTCTAACAGGTTTGCTCAGTCGGGTTCACTCGGTTGAGCGCCGGTCGTGCTCCCCGAGCTTGGAGTGTGACAAACTTGGTACTAGAGCCTAAGGTTTTAAAGTATCCTAGGATGTCTCAGAGCCGTGTCTGGTAGAGCCCTTCTTATCACTGTGTTGTCGACCATATCTACAATTAGGGGCTACTTGGACATTTAGGAATAATACCCTTCATTGTTGGTCTATATCGTGCGATAGAACTGAATGCGAGGTTGTTCTCCTCTAACTCGTGCATTGTTCTAACTTTTAGTAAATGGCACCTAAGAAGAAAGCAAGAATTAGTCAAGAAGCCAATACCACCCTAGGAGTGGCTGTTGATTCTCTACTTGATGGTGTATCCTCCCCCGACTATTACACTGCCTGATTCTTCTATACCAGAACAGACTACACCAGCTCCTACATCTACTGAGGGTGCAATGATCCCTCTCACCAATATTCATGTTCCACCTCCAGCCCCAACTTTCGGTTCTGGAATTTCAGATGGAGATCTTAGGGGAGCTATCCAGATGTTGACACAGTTAGTGGCTTCTCAGTCCCAAAGGTCGAATGTTGCACCCACATCTTCTAGCCAACAAGAGGATTCTACGAGTTCTAGGGTGAACTTTCTCTAGTTAGATTCTCCAGTGTTCACAGGTACTGATCCCGAGGCGGACCCTCAGGATTTCATTGATGAGATGCATAAGACTCTCCGGGTTCTACGCGCTACCGAGACGGAGAGAGTGGAGTTGGCCTCCTATCGCTTGAAAGGGGTGGTATATTCATGGTTTGAAATGTGGGAGGATTCTCGTAATGAGGGGAGCCCTCTGAAGAGGTGGAGTGAGTTTGTGGATGCTTTCATGGACCATTTCTTGCCTACCGAGACTAAGGCAGCCCATGTCGCAGAGTTTGAGAACCTCAAACAGGGTAGTAGGAGTGTGTGGGAGTATCACATGGAGTTCGTGCACCTGTCAAAATATGCCATTCACATGATTCCCACCATGGAGGCCAGAGCTCGTCGATTCGTGCAGGGCCTTAGCCCTTTGGTTATTAATGAGGCTGCCACAGCTGCTCTAAATTCTGATATGAACTATAAAAAATGGTGCCATTTGCTCGAGCTACAAATACCTGCAAGTTGAAGAACATGATGGAAAGAGAGGGTAGCAGAAAGGACCGATCCACGGGCCATCCTGGAGATTCATTTAGTGGGGGAGGATCAATCTTTCAGGAGGATCATCAGAGCCATCTCAGTCCTATGCTCGGTCTTCATCTAGTTCCCCACCAGTAGTGGCTAGTCAGCAGCAGGCTAGTTGTTTCAGGCCCAATCAGGGTAGCAGGGGACCCCACCTGCAGGGCCGATCAGGAGGGAGATTCCAGCAGCAGCGGAGGCCCCCATGCCCCAAGTATGGGAGGATGCATTTAGGGATCTGCTACATGGACCTTCTAGTATGTTATGGGTGTGGGATAAGAGGTCATATTCAGATGGAGTGT